TGGTGGTGGTGGTGGTGGTGGTGGTGGTGGTGGTGATGGTGATGATGGTGTTGGCGATGGTGATCTTAGTGTATGCCATGTCTGAGCACTGTTGTATGTCCTTGGAAGAGGTGTACAGATACACTGTCCGTGTTGTCACACAGGTGTCTCTGATTGTGTTACAGGCCTTCACCTACCACCACACCCAAGAAATCATGGTCCAGCTGCTTCGCACGGTGAACCGGACAGTCATCACGATGGGGCGGGATCACGTTCTGATTGTGAGTAGATCTCTTCTTTTTGTCAAACATTTCAAACTGCTCAAGGTCTAGGAATTGCTTTTCCGGAACACCAGATCATGCTGAACACCAATCGCCGATCACTGCTTTGTTTTGGAGCACGGTTACCAGGGTCAAAGTTTTTCCTGTCTGAGTTGGGAGAACATGGGAGTTAACTCAAGTTGCTGAAATTAAACAGAACTTAGGCCTGTCTCCCAAGTTGAGTGTACCAGTGGGGATGGAATGTCACTGGCGAAGAAGGAGAAGTGAGAGACGCTCTTTGTAAGTGGGACAGGTAGGGTGTTCCACAGTCACGTCCACCAGGAACCTTCCAGCCTAGAGTCAAACGGTGCTCAGTCTCAGGGTCCCGTGAGCTTGGTTTTCTAAGAGGCTCAATTGTGTGTTACCTTTTACCATAGATGTCAGTTAATTCAAGGTCACTGCTATGTTTTGGGTTATACGTCTGTGCCAACACTATATTCTGAGTATCAGGAGATCCCTGCCATACAGCCTGATGATTGTCTCTCTCCAGACGCAGAGCCCATCTCTAGCCTTTTAACCTTTGCCCACCTTGCTTTAAACCAAGGGCCCCAAACTAATGCTTACAGGGGCCTATCCCACCATGTAACTCTTTTGCTGGAACTCACCAGTGGTTTCCCATCTCAGAGTCAAATCTAAACCGTCCCTAGGGCCTGAAATGCCCTCTACCCCTTGCTCTTTCCTGTATGTGTTCCTCTTACATTTAAAACATGATTCTATTTGCCATTTCCTTGGTTGGGCCTATCTCTCCCTCAGGTCTGAGGGCTTGTTCCGTCATGTTAATCAGATTTGGGCTCAGTGTCACCTAATCAGAGAGCCTCCCCTGCCTCCCTATCTATTATACCCAGTGTCTCTCTCCATCCTCTTTCAATCTCTACACCTTACTTCTTTGTGTTTCTTAGTATTATCACCACCTGAAATACAGATATATATATATATATATATATATATATATATATATATATATATTCCTTTATTTATTTAGTTATTGCCTCGCTCTCCTTATAAGAATATGAGCTCCAGAATGTATATCGCCAGTCCCTACAGCAGTGCCTGGCATACAGTGGGTGCCTGATAAATATGTGTTGAATGAATGAATAACGTGCACCAGGCAGGGACGCTAATATTTAAAGAGGACAAGGACTCCTCGGCTCTGATGACAACATGTGGGACTGGGCCATAGAGTTGTCAGAACTCCCAACTTTGCAAGCGAAGCTGAAAATCCACATATGTCGCATGAAATTTCCTGACAGTTAAGCTTCGGCAGCTAATTAAAAGGTGGGTGTTGATTGTTGACACACTGTAGCCCCGCTTCATGGACGGACAAAGGACGGCAGGTGCCGAGTGTTATTCTGACAGCAGCTGGCCAAGGACTTGATCCCTGGAAGCAGTAACAGCCTTCTTTACACCCATTTGGTTCCGTCGACGCATGTCAACACATGCACTTAATGTATGTAAATGTACATTTAAAGGAGTGAGGACGTTGTAGAGAGTGCCCAAGTGCCCGCAGGGCCAGCCACTCCTGCCTTTCTGAGGCAGCGAGCCATGTAAACTGGCCTCTGTCATCTGTCTCACTTACCGTCCTACCACCTTAGTACTATCATCATTTCTTATTCAGTTACAAGCTTCCATATCTGTGGTCCCCAGAATGCGCCTAAGATAAGCATCTTAGGAGTTCTCTAATGTTTTTTTCGTTCTCTTTGGAGCCAGATCTAAAGATGATCATCAATCCATTTGGTTCATTCCGTATATAGCAGGCTCTTAACCCCATGTCTCTCCTTTAGAAGTGGTTCTTTAAAACAGTGCCTGGATCATAGAAAGCACCAAATAACTGGTGCCTCATTATTTTCCTTTCTGTCCGGTACAATCCGTTTCTCTGTCCCTTTGCATTATCGACACAGGCAGGTGGCCATGGCCCTCTGTCACTACTGCCAGTTCTCTGAGCCTCACATTGGATGCTCTGCCTGGCTGCCCATCCTCCCAAAGCATTCTCCTCACTGCTGCCCCGTTCATCTTTGCCAGGACACTCCCCTACTCTAGAATGTTCAGTGGCTCCCCACTGTCTACCAAATTCAATCATAAATACATTAGCCTGCTCATTTCCTGCTTTTGTCATCTGGCCACAACCAAATTTTCCCCTTTCATTTACTTTCCTCCATCCAAATATTCAGCCACAATGGATGTCTGGATATTGCCCAAACATGCCTGGCACGTTGTCACTTCTGGGCTGCTTTCTTTGTCTGGAGTTCCTTTGTGCACCATCTGAATCTGTTGAAATCCTACCTAGTCTTCAAGGTCCAAGTGCGTTCTCGTGTGGAGCTGCCCCAAATCTCCCCAACTTGCTTGGGACTCTCAACCTGCCCCCCCCTCTTCTAAATCGCTCAGCTCTCTTCTTTAAAAAAAAAAATAATTTTATTGAAGTATAATTTCCAGACTTTGAAATTTAACGATGAGTGTTGGTAAATGTATGCAGCTGTGCAGCCATCACCATAATTCAGTTTAGAGCGCTCCTGTATCCCCCAAAGTTCCACTGGCAGTCATTCTCTATCCCAGCCCTAACCTCCCAGCCCCCAGCCCGAAGCAACCACTAATCTGCTTTCCAGCTCTATAGATTTGCCTTTTCTGGAAATTTCATATACATAAAATCGCTTTTGAGCTCTTTGGTGTCTTGTTTTCTTAGCATAATATTTTGAAGTGCATTCATATTTTAGGATGTATAAATACTTAATTCCTTTGGGTTGCTGACTAGCATTACATTGTATGACTATACCACATTCTGTTCATCCATTCACTAGTTGATAGATATTTGAATTGCTTTCCAACTTTTGACTGTTATAAATAATGCTGCTATGAACATTCACACACAGGCTTTATGTGAGCGTATTTTCATTTCTCTCGGGTAGAAACCTAGGAGTGGAATTGCTGGGGCCTGTGGAAAGTGTGTGTGTGTATAACTTGAGAAGAAACTGCCAAACCTTTTTCCACAGTGGCTGCACCACTTACGTTCCTTCCCACCAGCTGGATGTGAGTGCTCTAGTTTATATCCTCACAAACACTTGTGTGGTGAGTTCTTAGCTTTGTAACAATTCTAATGGTATCTCATTGTGGGTTTAATTTGCGTTTCCCCGATGACTAATGATCTAATGATGTTGAGCATCTTTCTGTGTGCTCTGCCTCTTTATTTATTTATTTTTTTTGAGTCATTTTATCTGTGAACTTGCCATACATAGCTCCTCTCTTATACCTAAGACTTTTGAGGTTTGGACCTATCTGTAAAAAGTATCTGTAATACACCTTCCTTATGGAGTTGCTGCGAGAATGAAATGAAATGCTACGTGAGACACATTTGCACACGTGATTTGATACATAATGCTCATTTATTTATTCAGTATTTTGTGAGAACTTCTTATATACTCAGCACAAACACTCAGAGCTGAGTTAGGTATGGCCTGTGCCCTTAAGAAAACCATGACCTCCTCCAATGGGCTATGTCTCAAGTACGTCAAATTCACTGTGTCCCAAACCCAATTCATCCCCAGACCCTGGAGCCTGCTCTACACTCTGCCTGCGTTCATGATCTCAGCTTGTGGTACCGACCTCCTGTTGACCCCTCTCTCTCTCACTCACCTGCCACTTTAAATCACCCACTAGGTCCTGCTGTTTCAGCACCTCTAGCCTCAGTTTCTCCGCACCTGGCTCCGCCGTCAGCTCTCACAGCCCCTGTATGCTCTCGGTCATTGGGTTCACTGTCCACTTATGTGGTCCACTGTAAGGTGACATGCTGGTTTTCTCCTCTGCCCCTTGCATTCTGCGGAGTCCCTTGAGGGCCCTGCCCACATTTGACTCATTCTTTTATCCTCAATCCCAGCAGGGCGTCTGGCATAGGGAGTACTCAGTAAATGTTTGTGGAGATAATGAATGAGGGAAATACTCCCGAAAATGTCGTGCTGTGTCAGACCTTCATATTTTTGATGTGCTTTTCCCTCAGTTCAGATTGCTTTCCCTCCTTCCACAAATGCGTTTCCCTAAATACCAGCAGCCCATCTCTCAGGGAGTGCGGCACCAGGTGTAAGGAATTGCCTGTTTAGCCCGCCCCCGGGGCTGATTCCAGGAACCTTGCAGAGGTTCTGAGTTGGCTGTGTCATTTGTCTCAGTAACTTTGAGTTTGCTAGTGTAATTACAACCGTGAGAGAGTATTGAGTGGGGAGTGCTAGAGGTGGGCAGCAAACACCCCTGAGTCAGAGCGGGGCTGTGCCTGGACTAGAAGGAAGAAATAAACCGGCGTTTCTTAAGATACAGCTTCATTTTCATAAAGTGGGCCTTTCCAGCAATTCTCAGAATAGAACTAGCTCCTCCAAATTAAAGGAAATGATGTTGGAAAGTAATTACTCAGAGGTCAGGGGTCCCTGTCTTAGCGCTGAAGGCCCCAATTTAATTTCAAATTGAAATTTGACAAGGAGGAGAGATCCCCATTTCAACCGTCACTTTTAATTTTCCAGATATGATTTTTATTGGTTACTTTCCATTGCTTGAGAATATTAAACAACCAGTATTTACGGCAAACACCAGACACGTCTAGTACTTCCAACATCCCAAGAAGGCTTCAAGAGGGTAAGGGGAGGCTGGCCTCTCTCATGTCATGATGTCAGATTAAATAGTGACATTCTTTTCCTTCTTATTTCTAGGAGTGGGAACATTGCGATAAAAGGTATTAGCTGTTAAACTTACAGGAACCACAGAGCTAGGATGGATTGCTTCTTGCGCACGGCACATTGTAATTATCATTTGCTGGAAATAACCATTCCTGCGTTTTTTTCTGTAGATTGCCTGCCTGAACAATGAAGTGTTTATGGTGACAAATGAGCAAGAGGAAATTTTACAGAAACAAAAAGCAAAAGACTTTTGCATGGCTGCTGCCCTCTCTTCCTCTCTTTGCAGGAGCCCAATCTATCTGTTTGTTTACT